TTAGTTTTCCACAGTTTGACTCTGATTTGTATGGCTATGCTTTTCTTTGTATTTATCCTGCTTGGAATCCTCTGAGCTTCTCATGTCTGTACCTATAGGTCGGTGTCTGTTGTCAAGTTTCAAAAATTCTCAGCCATTGTCTCTTCAAAATTTTTTTGCCACATTTTCTCTCTACTTTCTTTCTGGAACTCCAGTTTACATAGATTGTAAACAATTTTTTGGTGTCCACATATCTCTCACCTTGGTTCTGTACTTATTTATTTGTGCTTCATTTTGAGTAATTTCTACTGACTTATATTTGAGTTCATTGATCATTTCTTCCGACATGTCCAATATGCTGTAAATCTTATCAAGTGAATTATTTCGGACACTGTGTTTTTTCCATTCTATAATGTATATTTGAGTTCTTTTTTAGGGATTCCAATTTTCTGTTGAAATTCTCCATCTTTTCATCCATTTTTTAAAATCTTTTCCTCTAATTTCTTTAACATATTTATGATAGCTATTTGAAAGTCCTTGATTGCAGATTTCAACATCTGTGTCATTTGTAGTTCTGTTAGTATGACTGCTTTTCTCTTGATTGTGAGTCACATATTTCTGCTTCTTCATATGTCTCATATTGTATGCCTGACTAGAGTACATATTTTCCTGCATGGAGTGTACACCCTTTCTTCTATCAGACAAATAGGATAAGGGGCTAGTAGTCACTTTGAGCCAATTAGGAGTTGGGCTGGATTGAAAATTTAATTTCAGTTCACCTCTTAGTGCAAGTGTCTTATCAGGAGATATGTCTTGTACATATTGCTAACACCCATCTGCTTCCCCTACTCTTGCTAACAGGACTTTGGGGTCTAAGCATCACAATAACTATAAAGCTGTCTCCCTGCCTTCCAGACCATTCCCAGCTTCCCACACCACAGCACATTCAGCAAAAGTCTGTAAGGGGAAGCATTAGTTGGGAAGAACTAGCTCTATGTTGGGGATTCCTACAGATGACAATCTGTGACTCAAGTCCACAGGGCCATTACAAACTCTTCTGGTTTCTTCTTACCCCAGCAGAATCACCCTGATTATGCCAAGCTTTTTTTTTATTTCAGAATATTATGGGGGTACAAACATTTCGGTTACATATAATGCCTTAGCCTCGCCCAAGCTAGGGCTACAAGTGTGCCCTTCCCCCATACAGTGTTTTCTGCATCCATTTGTTGTGAGTTTACCCCCCCCACCCCTCTCCCACCTGACCAGCACCCAATGACTATTACTACCATGTGAGCACCTTAGTGTTGATCATTTAGTACCAATTTGATGGTAAGTACATATGGTGCTTGTTTTTCCTTTCTTATGATACCTCACTTCGAAGGATGGCCTCAAGCTCTATCCAGAATAATATACGAGGTGCTAGTTCACCATTGTTTTTTGTAGTTGAGTAGTATTCCATGGTATATGTATACCACATTTTTTT